TGAGCATGATGAGGTGAATGAAATTCTCATACATTTGAATGATGCTCTACGAATCACGCTTTTCTGTCTGTCCGCCTGGTACTTTTTAGCGTTCTGGGAAATCTTCATTGGATTTTCCATAATTTTTCATAATTTTCACTTTAAAAAAAAAAACCGATTCTGCAGTATATTCAGGGATATTATTTTATTTTTTTCGAATTTCTGCAATTGATTTTCATCCCCAACAGCCTGTACATAATGTGGCTACACTTGCGAAATTGTCACATTCTATTGGAATGCCCATAGCTCACACATTTCCTGTTGGGGCGAGTTCGTTCCAGGATGTTGCCCAGGGGGCAAAGAGGCTCGTTAGTTGAGCATGAGAATGCTCGTTCATTTCCTCCTTCGATAGGTCGGTGGTGGCACCGAGATCGCAATATTGGATTCAACGTGTGACATCTGTACATCGCCGACAGACGGCGAGGCTTTACATTTTTAAAGCTTTGCCGTCTACAGCATAAAAAAAAATATTGAAAGTGTAAACGGTTATTGTCGCCTTTAAGCCTGCCTAGGGGCCAGCGTTGCACTTCCACGAGGCATGCAATCTCCTTGAGTGAAATGGACTGAACGCCACATGAACAAATGAACATGGGGTTGGTAAAACTCAAGGTATTTTGAGGTGAATCCCATCTAATTAATTTGTTGCCAGCTTTTCTTCTCCGCGTAAAAAGCTAACAGTGGACTCTTCTAGGTTTCCAGCGACTCCACAGGATTCGCCAGCCATTTCTAATAGCTTTACACTCTGGTGAAAGAGAAACCTTAGGTCTGCACTCTGTTTCTTAGCAACCAGTTCCAGCAGTCCCATGAAAAATATATTACCCATTTCCGGTTTAAAACGCGCGGCCGAATCGATTGAGCGGGAGAGTGATTATTGACGCCATGGAGGTGTCGCGAGGCTCCCATCGACCCGCGGCCAGGGCGGACGCGGAGTGGGCGAGGACGTACGCCCACGACCGGAACCGATGGCCTCCTCAGTCGCGAGCTCCTTTTACTCGAGTGAAGCACCTGTGGAGTGAAGCACCTGAAGCACCTCGAAACTCCGCAGCGAGTTTCGAGTTTGTCTCTGGTGCTGCAGTAGTGGCCGAGGGAGGTTTGAATTCATTCGTCAGCTTGCATTTCTGCTCACAGACCTACCGGCAGGACCATCAATACTCCTGCATTCAAGTAGGTGAATATGATAAGTTATTTTACTGAGTCTGATGATCGATGGTCCCATCTCCTTGTTTCGCAGTGGTGAAGAAGTAGATTGAAAACCTTCTTTCAAAGGCCTTCCCCTTTCTACAAAGCCCCCATGGGGTTCTCTACAGGACGCAATCACGTTAGGTCTATGCCGAATCCATTGACTGTCTCCAGGGATGGCCGGGCCCTACCTTTTTCAATTAGACTAATCTCAACCTTCGACTTACCTATACCGGACAATGTTTGGGTTTTCGAAAAATCTGGCAAACGATAAGTAAGATTGTCCTGTTCATGGGCCTGTTTTCAGTTTCAAGACACATTTTTGTGAGAACGCATGACGTTCGGCCTACCTAGAGTTCATCGAACCATCTCGATGAGGCCTGCAGACCAAATACCTGTAAAATTCAAATGCATTTGGGCGCCATGTTATGATTTCCATGTTGGACGCCATCCTGTCAATTCATAAATGTCAGTGCAGGATGTGCCCGTATTCCGCCACATCAATCGGCCACCGCCAACCTCTTTTTCGATCACATATGAGCCCACAAACTCAGCACAGCTATATATTATTTTTAAAAGGAACAATTCACGTAGGAATCAAAATGCATTGATTTTCACATAAATGCAGAACTACAAGGTAGGTTCAAAAAGTTTCGAGACTGGGTTTATTGCACGCAAACGATGAGCGTTACGGCACTGTTGCCGTGTCGCCTTCAAAGTAGTGGCCCTGGCTTTCTGTACCCTTTCGCCAACGTCTGTAAAGTTCCTCGAAACGGAACTGGAACCAATTTTTAGCGACCCCGTTCAGTGCCGCCACCGTAGCTTCCTTCACCTCTACTGCGGAGGAAAAACGATGTCTCTTCAGGCGCGTCTTCATTCTTGGGAAAAGGCGAAAGTCGTATGGTGAACGGTCTGGGGAGTAGGGGGTATGTGGTCGTAAGACGGTGCCAGTGTCTGTCAAGTAACGGCACACCATCAGCTGTGCGCTAACGTCGTGAAGGTGGATCCAATTCTTGTCTGGCCACATCGGGGGTCGTTCCCTCCGGATTGCTTCTCGGAGACGCCGCAGATCTCCGTACATCTCTTTATTAACCGGTCTCCCCTCCGGAATGAACTCACGAAGGACAATACCCTCGTGGTCGAAGAACACCTCCAACATCACCTCCCAGGAACTCACGGCCTTCTCGGAACCGTCGATGCCACCGAAACACTCCAGGACGTGAGATTATCTTGTCCTCATACGCCTGTCTCGGCATTCCAATGGTCTCCGCAGCCGTTTCACACCGTCTCTGGCAACATTTCGCATAAGCACGCTCTTCGAAACGCGACATTTTCCCAACGTGAATGCAGCCCACGTGTCCTTGATATGCACGTAGTGTGGAACCATAACTAAGCTCAGCAAAATTTATTTTGGCGTGCAGCGCAGCGTTTGGTCATGGTGATCCGAGTCTCGAAACTTTTTTAACCTAGCAGTATATCTGGCTACCTGGGTCTCTACTCCACACGGTAAGCCTAAAAGAGCTGATTTCATAATTTTAGCGATATGGTGCATCGCAAAGAATGAGTGTTTCTCTTCATCTTCAAGTTAATGTATCATTCTTTTGTTCTCTCTTTCGAACACCATCCCCCCTAGGAGAGGTCGGTATAAATAAAAGGCTGAATATATTTTAACGAGTAGGATTCGAAATCCAGTATGAAGGCCTGAAATAAGTACCGGCCGTGGTTGAAATCATTGATCTAATGGCATCTGTACGAGAAGGACATGATCGCTACAGATTATTCGCATTATTGAGCGATTATTGAGCCTCGCACACTGCGGTTAATTTGTCACTCCTGTGCAACGAGGTCTGTCTTCTTTCGGAAGCTTTTTCAATCTTTGCTCGGGTGCTTCGGCCTTATTTGAAATTTCGTGAGGAAACGTCCAAACGTCCAATTCCTCCTGCATTCCTCCTGCATTCCTCCTGCATTCCTCCTGCATTCCTCCTGCATTCCTCCTGCATTCCTCCTGCATTCCTCCTGCATTCCTCCTGCATTCCTCCTGCATTCCTCCTGCATTCCTCCCGAATGCGTGTCTCCGTTTGCAGGCTGTTTCAGCGAAGAGAAAGACTCGCCCAGAGCAAACAGCCGTGTCGGTTTGTCTCGATTGCGATTCCCCCAAAGGAACATTCGCTGATGCAGCCGTCGCGACCAAATAAGATATTGGTCAAAACTGCCACCACCAATTAATTTAATGTTACCAAATGTGAACTCGCGTCAGCACCACTTCAAGTCACCCAGCAACCCCAAAGAGTTTCCACCCAGAATCCGAAACATGTCACTTTTGAATCGCTTGATGATGGTTTTGTTCGGGCCAGACGCTCTCGCGTTGCCCAATCGATCCTATCAATTGATGGCGATCGATCCTCTTTGTCGATGACGACCTGATTTTTTTCTTCCAAGTGACTCTTCCCACGCAAGAATCGCACGAGGAAAGAACTTTCATAACAACCTGGTTGCCACGTTATGCAGTGTGTGTTGCCGTGATGACGTCATTGTGGTTTCGATATTGACAGAAATCCCAGCAACAGTGGGTCCGATTCGAAGCAGCCTTTTGCGCACGAGAAGTGGCCGAGGCCGGGTCAAACTAGGCCAAATGTGCAAATAATGGACCAATTTAGCACCTTGTCGATGCGGCGGCGAGGTATCGTGGGGGCTCGTGTCCCATCGGCCTTCGCTGGTACATTTTGGGTGCTTCGCTATTATTTCCATACGCTGCGATGTTCAGAAATCCTCCTTGCGAAATACAGAGAGATCGAGGGTGGAACACGGCAAATCGGCATATCGATGAAACGGTTTGCAAGCGCCCTGACGAAACCATCCTCTCGCTCGCCCACGTTTCACGGATGTCCACTAGACGTGTCATTTCCGACCGTTTCCGAGAGGGGAAAGCGGAGCAATCCCCCATTTTCATTCGAGGCTTAAAGGACTCCCCACGACACAGGAACTCCATCAGGGATTGCAAGGCGAATGCCCTCCCTTTCCCCCCTTGCACCTCGCGTTTCTCGTTATGAACCTCATGGGCCGCGTCGCGTCTCCCCGCATGGCTCCGGAGCAGGCAGGGCCGCCTGTCGGTTTCGTCTGGTGCTCGGGCCATTCCCGGAAGATTCTCAGCGTCGAGATATGAATAGGTATGGCTGATGTTCGGCTAAGTTGATTTCAGGGCCATTCAGCTTTCGATTGCGTATCTAGGGATAGGTTCATGTGAAAATCCACTCAGAAGTCAAAGACCAATCGTAGGCATTGTCGTTGGCCAACATCGATCAGAAGGGAAATTTGTTTTAAATCATTTCATGAGATACTTTTTCAGGCATACTTTTCTCCTGGTCTCTTCTGGTAGACACCAATATTATTCATCGCCCAAGGCTTTGGGTGACACTCATCATATGTCTAGGCACAGAAATCTGATGCCTTATGAGGCCTACAGGTTACTAACGTACCCATTCATGAAAGTAGCCACCGGCCACTTCAGGAGGTGAGCGGTGAAGGTGGATCAAAGGATGCCTTTCTGCAATTTTTTTATTATTGAGTAAGTAAACCTGGCCTGTCAAAGGGTGATGGGATCCTGTAATCCTAGACGAAGAGAATTAAGACAACTCATTCGGGAATCCTTTGAGGAAGGGAAGCACGAAGCGGACAAATGCAGTAGGGCTCCAACTCTACTTAGCTTTTTATTTTAAAAAAACTATGGTTTTTCCTCATTCCTAGGACCAGTTTCATTTGCAGCAACTTGTGCCATCTGGTAAATGTATGTAAAGGTCAACTTCATTGCAGACCATGGATTACCTCTTGAAGTTGGCTCAGCTCTCCTGCCTGCTCTGGATCGTATCAGGAAACGAGCTGCAAGTGTATTGGGCCGTGCACCCAGGCGAACGCTACGAGAACGTGTCTCGGCTGCTGATGACATCCTACTTCGGGGAATGCAGCTCGCGATGCGCGAAGGAAAGACCGTCCGATCAGTGCCTCGCCTTCAACTTCAGGGAGTCGGATGGCGCTTGCGAGTTGTTGCACGGGGGGAGCAGCCGGCTCATCCCTGCGAACGGGTTCCAGGCGTACGCTCAATGTGAGTGGCTTTGCTCGTCCGGCGGAGGTTTTTACAAGGTAGTATGGTGGCGATTTCTTGGTACATTTTACATCATGTGAGTCTTTGTTCTAGGGAGTTATTTCTTCGTATTAATTTAAAATAATGATACCGTGAAATGTATTTGCAATTGCAAGGAAAACATCGCGTAACGTGATACAAAAAAAAGTGGGATATATGAATAATACTTCTTTTTTTGCTTTGGACATCTTAGCATATGAGCAAAACCAGTTTTTCGATTCTTCAATTCTTCTTGGAGCTGTTGACTTTTTTCACCAGAGTTCAGAGCGATAATTTTTCTGGAATACATGAAAGATTGATTTCGCGGCTTTCAGAAGGAGCTAAAGGAATTCCTTAGCAGCCAAACTAGTCCAACTCCTGGGCCAGGTGTTCCCATAACAATTCTCTTAATCCCCGCTGTGCCCTGCATTAAGTGGCAAGCGGAGGGGCAAATACGAGGCTCTAAAATATTCATAAATAGGGGAACGTAGGCAGAAAGTCTCCGAGTTTTCCACTAGCGCAGTATTGCATACGGTATATGCACAGCATAGAGGAGCAAATGAATGGACTCGCGTCGTCCAGTGGCGATGGAAAGGAGGTGAGGCTTAGATTGAACATTTTCAGTTGAAGACTATGAACGTGCGAATCGATGAGGACGAACATAGTCATGGGTCGACATGAAATGTCTCTCGCATGATGAGACTTCCCAGCGCAAAGTTGAGAGATATTTTTCGTTTGGTCATGTCACGGTAAGGAGGCGAGACCTCCTTACCATTATTTCTAATGGATGGTCCCATGCTATTGAGCTTCTGCATATCAATTTTCCCACTATGTCATTCCTGCCGTGCGAATGGCTTGCATCTGCCCTTTCTTTTGCCTTTGACACCGAACTCAGTCCTGTGCGTGACGGACTACCCGACGATCAAGAACGCGAAACCGACCTTCGAAGGTTGGAAGGGCGAGTACCCAGCCCCACAAGGGGCGAGTGTCCGCTTCGCCTGCGACACGGGATTCACCGATGGATCCAAGGAGCACAGGGCCTCGTGCTCCTGCAGCGAGCCGGATCTCTGGTGCACGACGTTCGTGAACTCTGCGACTGATCTCTGCACACCTTAAGGTGAGAATGACTTGTTTCTACTGAGATGCTGGGACTGGTGTTTGCCAAATAGTGAAAAGCATGACCATTCCTCGATTTTTGGGCGTCAGTCATTTTTTCTCGCTTGCAGAGGAATCTCAGTCCATGATAGAAATGCTCACCTAGCATCACTAAAGCCAACGTTTAGATTTCGTGCAAAATACGAAACAAATTCGCCCATTCTGTGTTCGGGAAATTGGACATTTTTAGATTTGGAAACATCATAAAACCGAAATGTGAATTACTGACTAAAGTACCAGCGAGAGGAGTCGCTGTCACCAACCAATTTACACCATAGAACGAAATTTCATGAATCGCCTCATTATCCACACGAATGCACCTGATCGTATAAGTCAGACACAATTCCCCAAAAACCTGAGCGGGGAGGAATCCCCGGCGGGAAGGAGAAAATCGCCCTGAAACCAGAACCCCACACGAGACAGTGCAACATAGCATCTACCGATTGAATTATTGATCCAGTAGGGAAATGAGGCCAGTAAGGGCCAGACTGCCTCTGGGGCTCGGGCGAGCACATTCGCTTTTCTCCACTGTTAAGGAATTTTTTTGTTTGTTTAGTTTTGGCTTCCAAGCGAAATCCGGGCTAATGGGAATCAATTCCAGGCGATGGTGGGATGATCCCCTTTCGGACAGCGTCTGTCTGAAAGGAGATCTTCCAACCCCAATCCCAACGAGATGCGAGTCGAGTGCATCTCAACCCCGTGGCATGCCAAAATTAATTTAAAAATGGAAGGCTTTCTTCGTGTGACGGATGCTGTCACTACGTCATCACAAGGACATGAAAATCACATGAAAATTATTCGTAAGGGGATTCCGTTGGACTGCCACGTCGGCTTTTGCGTCTATGCCAAGCAGGTTCCCAGTTCCCTAAATGTAAATTGTATTGCATGTACGCAACATGAGTTCATTTAAAGTAATTGATTCCTCTCGATTGATTGGTATATTTTCAGTTCCTTGCAAATATCAGTGCTGACGTCCGATCGTTTAGAAGTCTCACGGATGAAAGAGAAATAGCGAGTCTGCCCAAAGTGGTCTTCCTCTAAAAATCTGCGATTTTGCCTTGCAGGAGCATTGGAGCGAGACGGGGGGAAGGAGCTGCGGCAGGAGGAACGGCTCCATTTTTTTAAATTGATTTTTCTCAGTGTGAAATTTGTTTCCCCCAGCGTTGAGGGTTTCTCTGGAGTTTGTGCGTACATTCAAACAATCGTGTTCTCTGAATCCGGACGTAGTTGAGCCATTCCCACGGCCTTTAGAGCTGCCTCATGGACTCCTCGTGCGCCTTTCGTTTCAGTCGCCATGTAGGAGATACTTTTATAAAGATGATGAAATCACCGTAAATGATAATGCGCATGTCCGGCATAACGGAATAAAAGGGTCGCGAATAAAAGGAATAAAAGCGGGGGTCGGGTCGAGTCGAGTCGGGTATGTCGAGTGAGTGAGTCGGACAAGGGAGTCGAATTGTAGGATAGTGAGGAGAAACCTGAGAGAAGACGCGGGATATTGAGTGGACCCTTGACGTCAGTGCTGGAGATCGTATGCTGTCTTGTCACCCCACCGATACCTCTCGGGTTTATATTCCTGAGGTATTGGTCGTTGAGTATCTATGGCCGAAGAAGGGTTTAGGGGAACAGAATTTTGAATTTTTGCCCCATATCCATTTCCTGGTTCTCATTATTATCGACCTCTTTCCAAGCTGGTTGTCACAATAAAGTAATTGTATATTTAAGGAGTCAACGGAGTCATTATAAACCTCGAACACGCTGGCGATCTCTTCGTGATATTCATTAACGTTAAATCACGTCGGAGCCGCCTACAGCCATTCCTTTAGCGATTGAGAATTCAAAAAAACGGCGTGGAACGAGGCGCCGGGGGGTCCGTGAGGGGTTTCGGCAAATACCTGCTCATCGGTATCTCTACGGTCCCTGCCCCCTTTGGAGTTTTCTGGTGATTCCCCAAGAATAAAATCTGTCATTCCCACTTTGTAGGCTGACGTGACTTGTCCGAGCTGATTAATCTCGCCAGAATGTCGATTACCGAAGAAGATCGCGTCCAGGAATCGTTTTAATTCAAAGATGACTAAACGGATTCTGTCAATGCCCCTTGCCCATTTTCGTTTCGGACGTTTGGAAGCTAAGGAAAGTTGTCATGAAATTTCCCTCATCGTGTTTCTTTCAACGACGATTTATTATAAATGGGATGTCCACCTGGATGCACAGGGAAGCACAAATAAAGGTGGAGACAACTGGATCATCTCATTCGAACCGCCTGCCGGCTTCTCTTCGAACCGCCTTCCGGCTTCTCTTCGAACCGCCTGCCGGCTTCTCTTCCAACCGCTCAGCAACTCTGGCATCACATAGCGCCTGCGGGGACGTCGTTGAAGCGTCTTCGACCCTCCCGACCGCTCTTCTCCCTTGTTGCAATGTAGGCATTTTCTCAAGCATAAAACATTAGCCGTTTTCTTGAGAGGCTTGTCTTGAGTCCGTTTCCCACTTTTGAGCCGTACCTGAGGACCTCTGGAAGCAAACTCGCATATATAATATTCTGATAAATTTCCGGGATTAAATAATTTATTGCGTGATATATGAAGACCTTGGTGGAAAAAAACCATTGCAATTTCACATACATCTCCTTTTTAAAAGTACGAAAATAGGTCACTTTGCATGAAAATGCCGAAATTAATGTGCATTGTTCCAATTTTGGAAATTGGCCAATATGGAATATATATGCATAAAATAGGCAAAATGTAGAATTTTGAAATAGTAAGGCAACGATGTGAGATAAATATATTTGAAAATATAAGTACAACGAAGTTCATTTATATTAATTCCCAATGGGGCCCGCCGCATTGAAGGGTTAGCGCACGACTCATTATGGATTCTCCTTCGATTTTTGGAACCGCGCACGGCACAACTCCTTTCGCGAAACGGGCGAAACAAATGTTCTGCTCTAGTTCGTGAAAGGGACCAGGAACGGATTCTTTCGGCTGCTCGAAGGCCTCTCGCATCAACCGGTTCTGTTCTTCTTGTTCGGGTTGGATACTCAAGATGCGAACTTTAGAGCAACGGGGAAAAAATAAGGATATCATTATAGTCAATGATATTAGAATTATACCATATTGAATTATACCATATTGAATTATACCATATTGAATTATACCATATTGAATTATACCATATTGAATTATATCATTATGAATATACATTGTAAATAAACCACTATGAATAAATCATTATGAATGACGACATGCAGTAGCATGTCAGTATTCATAATTATTACCAATACCCCATGACAACAGATCAGAATGCGAAGTCAGAGCGAGGCACTCGGTGAAGACAACGGAAATGAAAATCTTCTGTCTGGGGACGGAACTCACAACTCCATCATTCTTCACTTTGGGCTGACACGATCAGGCTGCCGTCTGCGGAGGAAAAGTCGAGACGCGAAGAAATTCCTCTCTCGACGGATGGCAGAGCGAATTGCGTGAGATCTGCTTGGGGCGTGACGTTTCCCATTGGTTTTCGCGTTTCGAAGAACCCCGGGACTTGTACAAGTGAGTCATATCATATCACGGGAGAAACGAATTCTCGCTGAATTTTAACGGGTTTTCTTCCTTCATTTGATTTTGTTACGAGTTTAGCTGGTCACATCAAGAGGCAATTCCTTTACGACTTTATGCTGTCAGGCGTCCCGTTATCAGAGACTAAGCGTGAGATGATGAGATATCACATTTCTCAAGATTAATTGTGCATTCCGAGTCATTGGCATGTGACATATTCGGCGTGGAAGCACCTCGGATTCGAGACCAGAAAGCGGGAAGAGAGGCAGAGGCGAGACTGGGAGCGGGAAGAGAGGCAGAGGCGAGACTGGAAGCGGGAGGAGAGGTAGAGGCGAGACTGGAAGCGGGAGGAGAGGCAGAGGCGAGACTAGAAGCGGCAGAAGAGGTAGATGCGCGACCAGAACTGACTGTAGAGATGTCTGGTGCGGAACATAAAAGCTAGCAGTTGCATTGCTTAATTTTGTTCTCTCTCTCTCCCTCTCTCTCTTGACGAAAACACAAAATCTTCAGTTGAAACGATACTCTTTATACCTTACTCTTCAGAAAGAACAAAGAGAACAAAAGTCTCTGGAGTCACTGAATGATGTCAATTTTTATGTCTTTTTTCACAGGTTTTCATCATTTTCGCCCCTTTCTATTTGCATTCGGTTGTGATAATATTGGTTTTAACCAGCCACTGGTTTAAAGCCTTACGAGTAAATACAGGACCACATTACATATGATCATCCTTTCAAAACGTCCACCAATATCCCGGGGGGATTTAATGCCTGCCGGGGTTGTCGAGGCGTTTCCCACTTCTTATCTGGCCACTTATTTTAATGGTTGGGTTTTCCAGCCTTGTGGGGCCAGTGGACCCAAGAACCAGGGGGCAGGATGCCAGAGACCCGCCCCCCTCATCATCATCATCGATTGAAACCCCAATCCACATCGCCCCAAATGCTACCCTTAGGAATAAATCTTCATCTTACTGTAGAAAACCCTTAGATCAGAAGAAAACGAATCCTACCGTAACAGGCACCCTCAACTTCCATGACGTTTTGAATGAATAACATCGCTATTCATTGTTCCTGGGTCTCTTGGGCATCCAACGAGCGACGAATATTTTTTAATGAATATTTTTCCCACTTTCTTATGGAAAGATCTTCGATGTAGAATAGCCTCGAGCGGACAGATGAAATGTATCCCACGTATTACAAGAAAATTAAACGGTTGTAGGAAAATCGGGAAAGCTAAAAGTTGTTTCATTTTATAAATTATAAATGTGAGTGGTTAACCATATGGTATCTTGCTCTTTAGTCTGATTTCCACGAGGGGATCATAGCTCTCGGCATAGTTTCTTGCGGTAGATTTGCACTAAACCCTTACCTAACCCATGAAATGTATGCTTGACCTAACAGGAGAATGTGCAGAGGAACAATTGGAAACGCATGTGGAACAGGAAGAAGAAGTGGAGGAGATGATGGGATAGGATTTAGGGAAGAAGTGGAGGAAGAGGTGTAAGTGAATCTGCAAGAGAACAGTAGAACGAGTTGTAGAAGGAGACGCTGTCGAATCTATGAGTGATGGCAGGAGCCGCAGGACAAGGTGAGGTAGCGAGCCAGAAGGAGGCGATGGGGAAAGCGCCCAAGGAAAAACAGGAGGAGCTGGAGGAGACACCACACATCGACCGACAGAGGACGCAATGGGAAGAAATACAAAGAGGAACATCAAGAAGCACCACAAGAGGAAGAGGAAGCGACCCCGCCGAAAGACCAAGAAGAGGTAAACGCAGGAAGCACCAAAGTTGGGCAAAGGAAGAAGCACAAAAAAAAATTCAGGAACGACCAAAGAGAATACAGGATAAGAAACAGCAGCAAAATTATCCGGAAGCAACCAAGGAAACACCCCAGGAAGAGCAACATGTACAACAAAAAAACCTGGAGACCTCATGAGTACGCGCCTAATGGAAAGGTTTTTGCTTTAATTATGACACGATTTAAGCTCCTTTTCTAGTTGCAGAAAATTTTCGTTCATATTGATATTTTGCTTGAGTACGATGACTTTCCCAATATGATCCACCCCTATGGCATCGCGTTACTTCACAAATGTCTCATGGTCTAAATGAAGAAATGTATCGTAGGGAATGTCACAGAGAAACGTTCACCCACGCCCTGGGTTCGGATTCGTCGCGGTAACACACCCGACCAGCAGTAATAAGGCCCGGATTCGATTCCCGGCCGTTCCGTAGTATTATTTCTTCTCATCATGCCATCCGGATCTCCCCCTTATGGCCACCAGCCGTTACATATTTTGTTGTTTTTTTTTTAACAAAGGATTTCATTTCATGCCCCAAAGTCATTCCAGGAAACTTTGAACGTACAAGTTACAAAAGCATACCCTCAACCACTGAATTTTAACAATAAATAAGGGGTAGATCACATTTTTCACAAGCAGCAAGGTCACATATTTTGTCTGATTTGCATATGTTGTCTGATTTGCATATGTCGTATGATTCGCATGTTGTATGATTTGCATATGTTGTCTAATTTGCATATGGTATGGTTGGATGAATCAAATATGCTGCATTATCAATATGTTGTTTGTATCCCTTATGTGCCATGATAAATTTTTCTATTTGGAATTTATCATTGTATGAAACTTGCATGCTATTTGATTTGCATCGATTAGTTGAGTTCTCGAATAATTAGATTTTTGTTATCCATGTTGATGACCTCAATGAAACGATTTTACAATTTGGAATTATTATTATTATTATTACCTATTATATTATTATTACCTGACTGCGATAACAAGATGGGATTGGGAAATCGATGGGATATAATGGGTAACTGTAAACAATTGATATAATATATAGTTTAGCGGAACAGCAAAAAAAAAATCAAAATTGACCTTTTAGAAAAAAAAAGATCCTCTACCGAACCGATAGAACCGTGATTGGATGAAAATTGGGATGTTTCATTTCCTTATTATTCGTT